TGAGGTTGTTGATGATTCTCCCTGCAATCTTAATTCCGGCTTGTGATTCTTCCAGCCTGGCATTGGGTTATATTAAGCATTGTAAATGTCACTGTGGAAGCAGGATAGGATTTTGCCTTAATGTATATGCTCTGATGTTCAATAGGGCTGATTTCCATGGTGAATGTATGGTGTGAATATTATGGACTCAGTCCATAATAGTAAAGTGACAAGGGCCTGAGGGAAAAGAAAAAAACAGCAAACTGAGCAAGAAAACAGAAACAAAACAGTATAAAGAATGTGGCCTTGGATGTGGAGAGACCAATGAGTGACCCACTTTGAAACCAGTCCAGTCTGGAAGCTGGGCAGTTGATCAAAACTGCACATCCAGCCAGACTTAACTTAGGCTAGCAATGGCAGCGACAACCAGTGAGGCACAGCTGAGGTGGAAAAGAGAAGGACTGCTATAAGAAGGAGGTCCAGATAGAAAAATAGTTGAGAAACAATGTTTGAATGCACATCATCTGAAGCTCAAGGTGCTTTCTTCCATTCCTCTCAGGCTCTTTGGCCACTTGCCTGGTGGGGGTTGGTGAATATGCAAGAATGAAATCTGGGTGTGTCAAAGTGCTTAAGCAAAATTGTTCATATTGTATTCCATAAAGCTAGAGGATTAACAAAGGATTCTTGGTGGGCTGCCTTGTCATTTAGCATGGATTACTCACTTATCCTCCACCCCATAAAGGTTATCATCACAGTGAAAGATGTGTGAGCATGTTCCCCACCTAAACTCTTGACCATTGATCAAGGCTCATCTCCAGCAATCTCAGGATGCCTGTTGCAGGCTGTTCACAAGCTATGGAGCATAGCAAGTGGGGAAAGCCAGTTATATGTGCCTCAATGGGTGGTGAGAGGAAGACTAAGTGACTGAAGTGAGGTATAAAAAAGGTCTGTTTTGAATATTGTTGCAGTTTATGCAGCTACAGAGGTTACCATTCAGGAGGAGACAATACAATACAGACAGATCATAATCTGACATTCATTTATATCCCAAATTTTAGTCCTTTTTGTCATTAATTTTTTAAAAATCTATTTGCATTTATCAGAATATGCAGACTACAGCCCCAAAGTTGCATACACTCTCCAAACCAGTTGTTCCTTTGGAGTTCTTCTGACTGCAACTGCCAAACGTTTGTGGCATGGTTTCCTACCAATTTGAAGCACAAAAGATATGAAAACACAGTCAAAACTAAGAAAAACCCCAATCCCTCCCAAACTGAAGCAAAATAACATGGCTTTGCCCACTTGCGACGAGGCTCTATATACAGTGGCCTTTGCTCCTGCCTACTTAAAAAACCCCACATCTGTCATATATAAATAATGGGGGAGCATGAATTTAAAATAGACTTGCCAAGAGCAAGATTCTAGTCAAATGTACCAAATTAACTTCAGTTTTCTAAATTATTCACTTTCCTTAATGTAACAAAAGTAGGAAGGATGTTTAAGCAGGATTTTTATTTTTTTGCATATAGGACACAACTGATCTGTAACTCACTATCAAAGATGTTGGGAATTACTAAGCGTGAAGTCTGCAAAGGTTACAAATAATTTAACACTTACAGACTTGTATTTATATTGTGAAATAACTTCACGTGTGTTCATTTCATGAACTAAAGCCACTTAGTATAACAACAGATTTTATTCACAAAGTGGTCTTTTTTGCTTCATTTCAGATCATTACATTTCTATATTCAGTACTATGTTTCCCTAGTCAATACTACTCTTGGAAATTGTAACAGAGATTCCTACTCGTTACATGAACCATAATTCTCCATTTAATGCAAGTTTCAAAACTTGTAGCAAGATAGTATTTAAAGTAGCTAATTCCATTTGTTATTGTGTCAGACAGATAACGTATATTGCATCAGGTTTTGATCAACACCCACTATAACAGTATTTGGTAATATTTTCTTACTGTCAATTTTCATTCAACATTCTCAAATTATATTACTGAATTATTCATGGAAAACATACAAAAGTTATCCTTGAAAGAACAATGGACTGTCTTTAAAATCAGATAATCTTTGATTAATCCTTAAAGATATTTAAATATTTGGCATTAAAACTGAACCTTAAGCCCCCAGAAATGATTAAACAATCAATATGCAGAAAAAGAAAAATAGCTTTAA